TTCACCTGGATTTCTAGCCCCAAGCGTGATTTCTGGTTTATAGCAAGCACTCAGGAAACATTTGTTGAACTCACATTCCCATGATATTGCACAAGAACGAGAGGAAGGGAGAGTCCCCTACAGAGGGACTGTGGGTGCTGCAGGCAGCTTCTGTGCTGGGGCGGCACAGCGCATGTGGTGCAACTGGAAACCTGGTTTGCTTTCTTCCTCCCCCAGGTAATGCTTTTAGATATTTTCCAGCTATGGGAGAAGACAGCAAAGAGTGACAGGAACTCCTGCAAGAAGCATCAGTGTTTCACCTCACCTACCTCTCTTAAGAAACCTGAGTTTGGAAATCTCCAGGCCAGAAGTAGTGCTACAAAAAGTCCAGGATAGTGGGGTTGGCCCAAGTTCAATGAGAGGCCAATCTAGTGTGTGTTCTGACACAGAGAGCCGGTCATTTCTCCAGCGTGTGCCGCAGAAATTCTCTGTTAAAAGAAGCAGGCTTTAGAGGGAGCTGCAGTGCACAGCCGCCAGAGTCAGACATCTGGGATCAAATCCTGATGACTGAATGGCTAAGAGTGCAAACCTGAGCAAGTCAATTGACCACGCTTGCCCTGTTTCCTTGTTTATAAAATGAGTACAATAATAACATCCACTTCACAGAGATATTGCATGAATTAACTGAGATAAGGCATATTAAATGTCTGGCACATGTTTATGTCATTCACACAGACACACACACACAGAGAGAGAGAGAGACATGTGGGGGGAGCGTGTGTGTCATCAGAACAAATGACTAAAACTTTTGCAGTGTTAGAGCCAGAAGTTCAAAATCAAGAGATCTGCAAAACTTGCTCCTCCAGAGCCCTGCATGGGAGGGGGATCTATTTTTCATCCCTTCTAGCTTGAAGGCTCCACACATTCCTGGAGTCACATCAGTCCAATTCCTCTCACATCTTTCTGTGATTGGCTGCACATGTCTGACTTCTCTTCTGCCTCTTACAACACTTATTTACCACTGACTCGGGCCCATCTGGTGATCCAAGGTGATCTCATCTCAACATCCCTAACTTAATTACTTAAGCATATAGCCTCTCTTCCCAAATAAGGTCACATTCATGAACTTAAGTATGTATGTATGTATGTATGTATGTATGTATGTTTATATGTGTGTGTGTGTGTGTGTGTATATATCTGTGTGTGTGTGTGTGTGTGTGTAAATTGGGGAGGGCACTATTAACCTACCATAATTCCTAAATCTGTGTGCTTTTTCCTCAGCCAGATATTTACATGCATTATTGGTCCTTTGACTAAACTAAGTCTTAGGAGATAAAGTTCTGGGTCTCTGGACTCTCATCTATCTTTTCTAAATGATAAGACAGTACTGCAGCTGTGTGGTTTCCACACACACTGACCAAAGGAACCAAAGGACAAGGGCTGATGCGGAGAACTGCTACATTCTCTGAGTCCTTCCTCAACCCTCTGCCTGCCTTCTACAATTCTTCCTCCTCCTGCACAAAGGTCTGTGGTGGGTATGATCCATGCTCTGTGCCCTCCAAGAAAGGCTCTGTCATCTCAGCCATCGGGATGGCTGTCATCAGTCTCCAGCTATCCACTTCTCCTTTCTCAGCCTCGGCACTAGGAGCCGCCTGGCTCAAGATCACTCTTGCCCCAAGAAAGGCCACACCCAGTGACTGACAGAGGTGGCAGTATAAAGGCCTGGTCATTCCAGGCTACCATGGGTTGATCCGATAGGCTATTTTACCTTGAGTCTCTTAGGGTAGAAGAGGGTTTGTGGAGCTTGTATTCAAACTTTACTTCTTTCTTAGCCCAATCCTACTGCCTTCTCCTTCCTTCCATGGGCATTGATCCCAGGGCACCTCCCAGTGAACTTCCTGCACACTGAACTACACATCAGTGGCCAACCTACACCAAGGGCTGAGGGACCACGCAGTTATACCCTGGGTGGGGATTTTACTTCTCTGAGTTTGTACTCGTGTTTAAAGATCCTGTTTTCCTTAAGTGGCCATAGGTGGTGTGGTCCTAAGGCTTTAAAACATATTTTAATTACTTTGGCTATCTTCCTAAGATTTTGAAGTTGTTTTTTTTTTTTTTTACTTCCTACAACTTAGGACCCACAAATGAATCTAAGGTAATTCTAAGTATTTCAAATATTCTGTGGGTAGTTGAGAAGAGGAGCATTGGTTTGACAGTAGCTTGTGAAGCTGAAAACAGTGTTCTGAAGCTCAGATGATACATATCTGATTCTTAATGTTCATACCCAGCAGAAAGGACCACCTAGGAGCAAGACGCCAATACAGAACGTAAGGCAGCGGAGGCTCCCATGCTGGCTGGGTTTGTGTCTGTCTCTACCACCTGCTCTCACTGGATGTTGTTCCTCAGTTTCCCCATCCATTACGTGAGGCTCATTGTTCTAGTCAACTTGCTGCTGTTGCAACGATTACCTGAGGCGATCAACTTATAAAGGGAACGTTTTTGTTAGGCTCACAATTTGGTGGTTTCTGCTCAAACCATGGTAGGGAATGTGTGGCAGGGCAAAGCTGTTAACTTTATGGTCAAGATTTTGATTAAAGAAAGAAGAACAAGCTGGGATCTCACCACCCTGCTAAGGAGCACACACCCAACAACTTGAGGACCTCCCAGAAGACCCCACTTGTTAATCTTCCATTATCTCCTCATATCACCAGGTTGGGAACCAAATTTTTAGCACAAGGGTGGAGCTGTTTCATTCTTTAGTCTTTGGCTCCTTCTTGTTCTGTGACTGGCTGACTGACTGTGTGGCTATGTGGTTGTGTGGCTGTGTGGTTGTGTGGGGCTAGGTGACTGTGTGGATGGGTGGCTGGCCCCTTCTTTTCTTGCTCCTTTCTTTTGTACCTCTATCTCTTTTTTCCCCCAGATATTGCCTCCTATTTATTCTCTCTGCCTGCCAGCCCTGCCTATCCTTTCTCCTGCCTTGCTATTGGCTGTTCAGCTCCTTATTAGATCAGTCGGGTGTTATAGACAAGCAAAGTAACACAGCTTCACAGAGTTAAACAAATGTAACATACAAGACTGTAACATAGCTTTGCATCATTAAACAAATGTTTCACAGCATAAATGTAATACATCTTAGATTAATATTCCACAACACAAGGGTCTTTCAGGAGCATTCCAGCTCTAAACTATAACAGCAACCATACTAGCCTCTTATGAAGGTCAAATGAGATTATTTCTACTACATATTTATAATAGCATATATGTTCCTTTCCCCCTCCTCCCTGAGGGAATGCTACACAGCAAGTGGCATTAACTGAACAAGTTTCTGATCCTTTGAGTCATAACTTACAGAAAATTCATGAAAATATGTCTCAACTTCAAAATAGAATTCCAGACACTTTCCCAGGGTGTCTAAGGAGATGGCCCTTATGTTTCCCACTACTGGCGTGGCAGCAGAGTCAGACACCAGACCTAACCGGGCAGCAGAGCACCTTTGGGGAAGAGCATTTTGAGCAGCAGGAATGGCTCGTGCAGAGATCTGCGTGGACACAGCTGGACTGCTTGGAATGAGCGAAGCCAAGCTGTTGAGGCTGAGGACTGAGGGGGATGAGAAAAGGATTGATACGACTTGACAGGTCCCTGTGAAAAATTTGGATTTCAGTAAATGATGTGGGAAATTCTTAGGTCTGCAGCAACAAGTGACATGGCCCTATTTCTGTATTAAAAGGAGGCCCTAATGCCTCTACTAAGAGGGAAATGTGGTAGGTCAGGCAGAAGAAGTGGGAAGACTGGGATCAGGAGGCCACTGTGCTGTCTCGGGCTGACAAAAAAAGACAACATGGGTCAATCAGGGCCTGACTATGAACCGGGAGCAGGTCAGGACCTGGTGTGATGTCTGTTCTGAATAGGCAAGATTTTGTCTTGGGAGGAAGGGAGCAGTTAGACAAGTTTTTCTGTCCCCTGCAATTGGAAAATAACTCTGTGAACTTAGATGTGAAAGAGGAAGTTAGAGAACGTGAGCTGTCACCCTTGTGACCTGGTAAGTGCTAGACAGCTCACAAGCATCACTATCCTACAGGTGATAGTGAACCAGGAGCCCTCAGTGCTGCACTTCCGGTTTGAGAGCCATCAACCGGTGGGACTGGGTGAGGCACTGTAGGAGAGGTCAGAAAAGGAAGCCGGAGACTAAGGGAAGAGCTTTAGTCACTGCAGCATCCAGGGTCAGGGAGAGAGGCCGGCCAGACTGGAAGAGACAGCTGCTGGCAGAGGAGGGGAAAAACAGGCTTGAAGAAATTCAAGGGAAGGCAGTGAGCCGAACTTTAACAGCTGCACCGGAGTGTTTTAGAGCAGGGCGCTGGGTGGTTCTAGACCAGCCACAGCTGGAAATTGATTAGAAATGTAGAGATCCCATTCCAGCAGTACTGGATCGACCACTCAAGCCTGGACTTCTTCAGGGGATCAAACACAAAAACAAACAAACAAAACCCACGCTAGTTACAGAACTGCCTGCCCAAATTTACAAAGAAGATTGAGGAGTATAAAAAACTATTTTTACTGCATGAGTGCATTGTTGGAGACTTGCTCAGACTCAAACTTGTAACAAACAGATCTCAAGGAAGTGGTCCCCCTTCTCATCCTTCTGCTATGATGACTGTTTGGAGAGGAGAATGCCCCCCATTTCACTGGACCAGGGAATGCTAAGCACCAAGCATGCCAAACATTCCTCTGACTATAAATGGGGGGGGGGGTGTTATTCCAGGGTTAGCAACACTGGCCCATTAATTCTGAACCTTCTGAGAATTGAAGCTTATCCCCACCCCACACCCCCACCATATCCAAAATTTCCTCCAGAAAGCCCTAGCAGAATTCCATCCCCTTCCATTCTGAGGGAAAGTGGTTAAAATTAGGATCAGTCCCGAGAGATTGACAAGTTAGATGCGGGGGAAGGCTGTCCCCTGAAATAAGCTGTTTCCCACTGCGAATGGGCGGGGCTGGAGCCTCTAGTCGCAACCCGGCAGAGGGACGGCCCCTTCCAAGTGTGTGCAAGAGGTCTGGTCCCCAGCTTTAAAATTCTGGACGCACCGCGTACTGACCTCTTCTCTCCCCCCAGTGGTGGCTAGCCCTTCCCAAGTGTGCAGTTGCCTCCTCCCTGTTCAGTCCGGCCGTCGTCCCGCTCCCAGTTGGGCTACAAGTGGCCGAGTGCTGCAGTCCAGCGCAGCGCGCCCTGCACACAGGCATCTTGGCTTGCGGCTCCGCGGGCTCTAAGAAGTTGAGCCCCTAGCTGTTGCCTGTGGCATCACTCGTGGGTCCCCAGCTCCCTGCCTCTCGCTTTCCCCTCCCTCGGAGCAGCGGGTCCTAGTGAGCCAGCAGCCAGCAGCCCTCCCAGGAACTTCCCGCCTGAAGTACAACTATGCTGCTAGGTGGAATCCTGCTGGTAGTGCAAGGTAAGAACCAACAGGAATACCCGCGAGGGCGTCCTGGAAACTTTACTACTCGCACTGGCAGGGTGGGGCTCCTGGTGTTGGCTCAGTCGTCCAACGGCTCTTCTGGATCATTCGCAGCCACTAAGCTCCCTGCCCTGGTCAAGCCTGGGATGGGGGTGGGCGTGGAGTTACACAGAGGAGGGTCCCTAGAGCATCGAGGAAGGTTCTGCATCCTTCTCTTCCTCCTTCCTGCGTGCCTCCCCCAACCTTCACCAGGTAGTCTCCAGGGTGGGTGCAATGCTGCCAGGCAGAAACCCAAACTGAAAATCCCTTTGTGCCCGCAGCCTTGCAGTTTGCCAGTGCCTTGGACCTGCCGGCTGGTTCCTGTGCCTTTGAAGAGGGCACTTGTGGCTTTGACTCGGTGTTTGCGTTTCTGCCTTGGATTCTAAATGAGGAAGGTAAGGGGGCACCATGGAAAGGTGCCCGAGGTGAACTTTCTTCATGCCTTGCTTTCCCTGTCCCCGGGAAGTAAAGCTATCTTGGAGTTAGTTCCCTTTGGGAGGAAAACTGTGAGTCATGAAGCCTCTTTCCAACTCTTCCTGCAGCAAGAGCCGGCCAGGAAAACCTTGAGGAAGGGGACAGCTGTGTACCTGGCTCTGAGCATGCGTGCGCTCCTACCGCAGCACACCCTATTGAAAGGGCCAAAGGGGGATTCTGCTAGTGATTGTCACCCACTAGCCTTGTGCCCCCTGCAGGCCGTTAGCCTTGCTGGTCTTCAGTGGGCACGTGCCTGAGCTGAGAAAGTCCATGGGAAGCATTCTCGGGAAGCTATGCAGAAATGTTTTCACACTGCCATGAGGGTCTTCAGTTCTAAGACCTCCCGTTTAGGTCCACCCCTCAGCCATTTTGTCTCTGATTTCATCCATTACCATCCCGTGGCCCTGGGCAAATGAGTTAACGCCAACACAGTGTATCTGAAGCCACCGGGCTGGGGCCAGATGGTTATAGCTCAGTACTCCAGACTGCTTGGGTTCCTGGGGCAAAATGTAAATGAAAATGAAAATCCAACGTGTCTTCTTACCCCCCCCCCCACTTTTACCGTAAAAACATTTTAATAGCAGGCCCTGGTGTCCCTCCTCCTTTCGGTTCTCTGCTCTTGTCATCCTCATTTTGAAGCTTCATACACTTCTAGACCTTTAATTTGGGCTGGGAGTAGACGCCTTTAAAAGACATGCTGCCATAAAGGAAGCCAGCTGAGCTTCCTCCCAGCTCAGTTGTCCAGCCTGGCTCCCTGGAACAGGACTCGGACTTAGGATGTGGGAGGTGTCACCACAGCTCTCCCTGCCTTCCGTCTTTGGGAACCTTGCCTACGGGTGAGCTTCCCTGATCCACACAGGTGGCTGGTAACAGCCTTGGCATGAGACTCTGAGACTTCAAATAGTCCCATGGTTGAATGAGTGACCAGCACTAGGGAAAGAAACCGGAAAGTACTAAGTCAGTCATTGTCTTTGTCACCAGCACTTGCCAGGTCTTGAGTGCTGTTTACTTAGGTGTACATGAGAAAAGTCAACTTGTTAAGAGGTCGCTGCTTTGCTGGTGACTTTAGGAAAGACTTGGAGTTCACCACCATCTTGCTTCCTGCTTTGACTGTGTTTGAGAGATGGCTCTACCTATGCGATGGCAGTGGCTTTGGGAGCATTGTTCCCTAGGTTGCATGGCTTCTCAAAGTTTCTTTAAGGAGGCATCAGGATGACCTGGTGGGCATGTTCCAACAGTTTCCTTTCCCTTCTTGAGAGTTTGATTCAGTGGTCTGGATTGAGGCCTGAAAATCTCTCACACGTTCCAAGGTACTAGGACTGCTGTTTCTACTGATCTGGGCGTGTGGACTTTGAAAATCCCTGGCTACCACTGTGTATGCACACACACACATGCACACGCACAAATGCACACACGCACACACGCACGCACACACACACCTATGCTGTTAGCCCCAAGTAAGACCGGCTTCAAAATGAACAACTCACATAGACCCGAGTGAACAGCTCCCTGAATCCTGTGTCCTAAGCTCACTTGTGCCGGGATGCTGTAGCCCTAGGAAAAAGAGAAATGGATGTCTTTCTCACAACCAAGGGTCTGAGTCCTTAAGTGTTTTCCACAGTCTCCTGTCAGATCGAAACTGCCTCCCAGCCAGAATCCTGGGTGAGCATGCCGCTGCCTGCTGAGCACAGGGCCCTCCTGGCTGGCAGGAAGGGACACATAGAGTTGGCATCTCTGCACCAAGGTTAAACAGCCCCCTTCAGGGAAAACAGGTCGATGCCTATAGGAAAAGGTGATTACAGCTGAATCACACCATGAAGGCACCGTGGCTCTTCCGTTTTCTTTCATGCAGCCGCTGCTCTCTAGCTGGAGGCTGAGACGGCTGAGTTGGCTGGATGACATTAATTCATCCCCTTCTGAGGACTCTGGGGCAGAGAGGGAAGTTAGGCTTCCACTCTGTGGCTCAAAGTTTCAAAGGCTGGAACTTGGATACAACTGCCCATTGCAGACATTGGGGCAGCAAGGCAGATGTGTGGCAGCTGCTGGGCTTGCCTGTGAGAACTGATCGCTGAGAACCCCCCTTATACTAGTTTGGGAAATTAAAGTAATAAAATTGTGCCAGGCTAAAATTTGGGAAGCCTCCACTTTATTGCAGAAACCGTTTGAAAGAGATTCCAGACGCCCCTGTGTGCTGCATCCACCAAGAAAGCTGTGAATGTCACAGACTTTTACCCACAAGTCTTTGCAACACAAATACCACTTCCTATATGTCCTTGGTCAGTGGGTTAACCTACAGTAGAGAGAGCAATGCCAATGCCCAGTGAAGGGTTAATTCCAGAAATCAGAAATCAATCTGTAAATTAGAATTTCCTGAAAGTTGGGTCTTGGAAGAGTTGATGAGCACCCTAAGTCACATAGCCCCTGTGGAGCTATATGAGGCCCATTTCTTTGTTTATTTGATTGTTAGATCACTACATATTTCTTACTACCTGGTTCATGGTCAAATATATTCCTACCTTGTCAAAGTAGATCACATTATACCAGATGCAAATTGGAACTTTCTCTGAAATCTTTGGTTTGAATTCAATTTTAGGACTTAAGAAACACATTTTACACTATAAAAACTTCCACGTTTCATTTATCTTTAACAAAACCACCTGTATTTATTTCTCGTTTAGGGAATACTGAGTCCCTTTTGAGCAACACTCCTCAGTTAACACTAAGACTGTCCCTTCTACTTCCCTCCTGACAGAGCAGAAGCCCTTTGACTGAGGATTCTTGGAAACCAGACAGTTGGCCTCACAATTCAGATTAGTAATTGAGTGGGGTTTGCTCTTGGTTTTGGCTTGGTAGCTTAGCCTTCACTCTCTAAGGAGGTTGAGCGCTGGGAGGAAGAACAAAGCTAAACATAGATACTATTCTTTTACTTGAGTGAAGAAAGTAGACGTGGGAGCGATTCTGGCCAGGAGAAAGTAAACAGGGCATTCAAAGCATTTATAAGGAAGATCTACCTCATGTTTCCTTGATAGTGTCCAAGTAGGGAGAAATTTCCTAATACAAGCAACAGATGGGTAGCTTCTGCACCTCAGAGTGAATTGATAATATGGAAGCTGGGAAAACATAGCCAGGGGCAGGGTTGGGGACATGGTAGGGTGTACTAATATCTCATTGTAATGATATGCATGCATATCCCCCCTCCCCTACACCCAGACTCTTTCCTTGTCTTTTGAGGATACTCCCCATTGACCATGTGAGTTTCCGTTCTGCACACAGTCATGTGCCAATTATTATTAACAATGATAGATCCTGCCTGATTCTTCTTGAGGCTCAGCTGGACCCAAAGTCTGGCGAGGATCCCAATGGGACTTTATGAAAGAAGAAGCCATTTTTTCCTTCACTGTGTTGACCTTGGAAGGCCACTGTAGCTTCCCACCCAAACATCCCCAAGTTGTCAAAGAAGATCTTGTCCCCATTGGCCCTGTGTTACTCCTGCTGGCCATTTCTCAGCTTTCCAAGCAGAAGTTCCACTCACCCATAATGCTGCTAGATAGAGGCTGGAAGCCAGAACAAGTCTAGAATGTGCCTTAGGTGCCTTTCAAAAAGACACTGACTGCAGAAATCTGGCTAATTTGTTCCTGCTGCATCAGATGCAACTCTTTAGGGTTTCCCTGGTGTTGCTGCTGCCAGATTGAGCGTGACTGTGTGTTCTGGGCCTGAGCATCTTCGGTCCTGCTCAGTGTCTGCATATGGTATAAGAGTTGGACTTGAAAAGCCGTCCAATGTGGGCTATCTGTTTTTCACACTGCATCTAGACAGGCTAACATTCATAGTTGGGTACAAGGTTCATAGCAACCCTGGGTCAGGACTCTGTCTCATCTGTTCAATAGTATTCCCTTCCTCTGCATAGTTGGTGAACAGTGAGCCCTGGCTTCCAAGCCTCACAGTATTGGTAACACGACATCAGAGATCCAGTTATATGTTTAACATGTAGAAGAACACAGATTCTCAAATGAAGTGTTTGGGACCTATCACACCCATAAAGAACTACATTTTGTGTCATATAAAAAGTATATTTATTTTCTCTAGTTTGTAAGACCTGCACACAGTCTTCAGCATGTAGGAAAAATCTTGGCACATAATTGGTACTTAGTAGGTTGTTAAATGAATGAATCCAGCATCTGACCATGAAAACACCCTTGAGCCTTTTTTCATGTTCTACTGTTTTTCCTTCACCTTCAAAGTCAGTTCCTTATCAAGAGAAGCAGCTTGAACAGTTTGTTAGAAACCAAGATGACCAGCTTGTATTAGAACCAGGCACTGTTCCTTCAAGGGTAGTTATCTTAGTTATTAGGGTTTCTATTGTTGCCATGAAACCCCATGACCAAAAGCAAGTTGAGGAGGAAAGGTTTATTTGGCTTACACTTCTGGATCAAAGCCTATCATTGGAGGAAGTCAGGACAGGAACTCAAGGACGGCAGGAACCTGGAGGCAGGAGCCGACGCAGAGGCCATGGAGGAGTGCTGCTTACTGGCTTGCTCACTATGACCTGCTAAGCCTACTCTCTTATAGAACCCCGGACCAGTCCAGGGATGGCACCACCCACAATGAGCTAGATCATCACCTATCAATAATTAATTAAGAAAATGTCCTACAGGCTTGCCAGCAGCCCAATCTTATGGAGTCATTTTTTAACTGAGGATCCTTCCTCTTGGATAAGTTTAGTTTCATGTCAACTTGGCATAAAACTATCCAGGACAATAGTGTTCATTACTCTTCCTCTCTATATCCCCACGGAGATATAATGGGGCTAGAGAGATGGCTTGACAGCTAAGAGCACTGGCAGCTTTTCCAGAGTCCCTAGGTTCAATTCCCAGCACCACATGATAGGTCACAACCATCTCTAACTGCAGTTCCAGGAGAT